CCTTTCATTTTAAAAAGTGCATGTCTCACATTTGTATTTTGTGATTCCAAGTGGCTTAACAAAAATCTAAAATTCAGTAAGAAATAGCAGCAACCAACCAAAAATCCATTCATTTATTTTTGGAGAAGGAATGGCAAAATCTGAGGGAGGGATGGAAAAGAGGGCTTAGCCTAGAATCCCTACGTAGCCACAAGCAAAGTAAGTCCAACCACCCCCTTACCTAATTCGAACCAGATGCTGACTTTTAGTTGAGAAGATTCTTCTTTTTTATTTTTTTTTACTTTTTACAAATGTATCAAATCAATGCGTGAACAGTGTGGTACCTGGGTATCATACATTCTAATACAAGCAAGACTGATAAAGTTAATTATAATTATTACAGTACCACTTCTTCCCAATTTAAGAGTCCAATTTTCTGTATCTTTCAAACTTTATTATTTTTCTCTCCCATGTCCTTCACTTCCAGTCTGGTAGTTTCTCAGAATGCTTGGACACCACTTTTACTGATAGTTCTGAGCAAATAGTTCTAAATTGTCCCTTGGGGTTAAATTTAAAGAGAATCCTCTCCCCCAGATGCAGCCACTGTTCACCTGCTTCAGCAGTGGTCTTAGATGGTCATTGGTTGTCCCAGCTTTGTGGCAGCCATCTTTAGCTGCCTTTTCTTCTTGCCATGGCTAAGAGGGAAAGTGAACCAGAGGCCAGGCAGGAGAACTGCAACTCTCCTCCACCTCACAGGGTGCCCCTCTTTGCTTCACACACCCCCCCTTCAGGGTGGCTTTGGTTCCTCTTAGAGCCCACAAACAGGAAGAATTCAGCACAGGAGTTGGAGCTCCATTCTCCTATGTCTGAAAGGTGCCGCAACATCAACCGGAAATCAATTGAGAAGATTCTTGAGCATAGGCCTTTAGCAATAAATCGGGTTCATTGAACCTTTATTCTGGCCTGGTCTTTCGCACCCAACATTTATCCATTATCTGTTTTGGCTATAGAAAAATGGACAGTTTCTAATCCACTGTGTCACCATGTTTCATTCAGCTTTTTGTTGACCAATAGGAGAAAGGCAGAAATAGCCCCAAAGTCAGTCCGATATTCTTACCAAAGTTTGTCGGCGGCCTGATGAGTCAGATTCGTCCAGCTGCAGGGCATGAAAACCAGAGAACACAAGATGTCAGGACTTTAATGTGAATGTATCATCCTTTCCCATTTGAGTTCTAATGCTCTCCATGTACTGTTTCATGACCAGGACCTGGATGAGACCTTATGCTCCCTAGGCATGTACAGTGTCTCAGAATCCCATCTCCTTTTGCGACCCACAAAAGCTCCTTCCGACTACAGTCATTCATTTTTCTCACCAATTTCATGCAGAAAATACAATGTCTGTAATGCCAACACAATGGTGCATTCAATATAGTTTAAAAAGAGGGAGGGAATATTCTCCCTCCCCCTCGAAAAATCTTACAAGTGTGTTATTCACCTCAAATTATTTCCTCACCCATTGTGGTCCTTGCCACAGGCATCCTGTAGAAGCCCAAATGTTATCTTGTGTCTCATGAGCTGCCCAGAGTCACTTGATTGAGTTGGGCAGCTATAGAATTTTGAATGAATGAATGAACGAATGAATGAAGTGATATGATGATACAAGTGATATGAGTTGTTCCCCAGAAGAGTAACAGATTAACCGAGTTGGAAGATACCTTATAGGTCATCCAGTCTAATCTCCCACCCACGCAGGAGACCCTACACCATTTCTGACAAATGGCAGTCCAATCTTTTCTTGAAAGCCTTCAGTGATGACGCTCCCACAACTTCCCAAGCTGTTCCATTGGTTGATTGCTCTCACTGTCAGAAAATGTCTCCTTATTTCTAGGTTGAATTTCTCCTTGATAAATTCCCATTCATTATTCCTTGTCTGACCTTTGGGTGCTCTGGAAAACAGCTTGACCCCCTCCTCTCTGTCGCAGCGCCTCAAATATTGGAACACTGCCATCATGTCTCCCCATGTCCATGACAGACCTTCTCGCAAAAAAATAAGGTGTAGCCACCAGGTATCAAAAGGAATTTCATGACTGCTTTAGCAACATAAACACAGAGACGGAGTCATTATAGAATTGGAGAGCTCTTGCCACCACCCCATAGAAACACAGCTTAATACACAGCCTGTGTCAATGTGATCTGACCCCAGGGGACCAAAACCCACTCTTCTACTTACTGCGGACTGTCGTAAGGCTCTCATGGCTGCTGATTTTACCTCTCCTTTTTGGTACTCTCCGTCAATTAAGTGCGACTGTCCAAGAAAGACACGCAAGAAAAAAGGATGAACAAGGAATGTAGGATGACACAAGTGATGCATACATGAAAAATATACCCTGTTTCCCTGAAAATAAGACCTCCCCGGATAATAAGCCCAATCGGGCTTTTGAGCACATGCACTAAAATAAACCCACCCCCTGAAAATAAGACCTGCCCGAAAATATTGCAATAGTGCAGCAGCCCTGAGGTGACAATGCTCACTGCCTCCTGCACGTCAAAAATAAGCCCTCCCCCAAAATATTGCAATAGTGCAGCAGCCCTGAGGTGACAATGCTCACTGCCTCCTGCACGTCAAAAATAAGCCCTCCCCCAAAATATTGCAATAGTGCAGCAACCACGAGGTAACCATACTC